GTTATTCCTCACAAATCTATATAGAAGATTGCACTACAATGCTTTTGTTAATAATATATACTTTGTATATAAGACTCAATTCATTTAAATGGCTACATATATTAATGAGCTATAGTTTACATAATCAGCTCACCAAAAGCAGTCTGGTTGGTGAGCAATTATGTTGGTGCTCAAAAAGTTTCAGATTTCAGAGCATTTTGGATTTTCAGGTTAGAGATGTTCAACATCTATATAAAACTACACTGCCTTATTCTACCCTAGATCATGGGATCTAAATAGTATTATTAGACTACAGAATATTTATATACATAATAGTTTAAGTGATTGTGCTAATTAGACAGTTACTCGCCTTTTTATGAGTTCATGTAGGTTTCTCTACATTACAGATACCTGGACCAATCATACATGCAGGCTCCATTCTTCTTAGGCTTTCCCAGCTAGGCTTGCACATTTCTTCACACTCTTATTTGATGCTTGACTGGACAGCTTGGCTTCCCAACTCCTAGGCTGAGACTAACTTTCTGATCATTTATGTTATGGTATTACCAGTTTTGTATCTCTTGAGGGCTAAGCTTGAAGTCCCATCCCTAATTACTTCTAATATTTGTGCTGGGATTGCCTTCCAACTCCATTCCCTGCATGTAATCTGGTGTTTTCCCATGGATATACCTCTTTTGTAGAACTGGGATACCTCAAGTTTCTTGCGAAGGATAGGAGGTTGCTTCTATAGTTAAATTGTGTTCCCAGAGAAAGACTAGTTTGTGCTTCCAATTCTTCCATCTTAAAAATAGAAATTTTTTGTGGTTGTGGTATCATGTGCTTATAATCCCAAAGTCTCAGGAGGCTGAGGCAGGAGTACAGTGAGTTCAAGACAAGTCTGGACAATGTAACAAGATCCTGTCCCAAAATGAAAAGAGCTGAGAATGTGGCTCAGGAGTAGAGGACCTCTGGGTTGAATTCTCAGTAAAACACATGTGTGCGCGCGCACACACACACACACACACACACAGATCTAGGAATTTCTCATTATGAATGTTGACACATACTATTCAAATACCCATTTCCTTATTGTCCATTCAATGAATGAACACCAACTAATAGGGTGCTTATTCTTCTAAATTCAGAGAGGGATGCAGACAACCAAAACCCAGATGGCTAAAAGAATGCATAAGTATCCCTAATCTGAAAATATGAACTTTGAAATGCTCCAAAATCCATAGGTTTTTGGTGCTGATCTGAAGCCACAAGGGAAAATTCCATTGCTCAATTTGGTTTTTGTTTTTCTTAAACATTTATTTTTTAGTTGTAGTTGGACACAATACCTTTATTTTATTTATTTATTTTTATGTGGTGCTGAGGATCGAACCCAGGGCCTTGCGCATGGTAGGTAAACGCTCTACTGCTGAGCCACAACCCCAGCCCCCCTCAATTTGTTTATACACAAAATTACTAAAAATATTGTGTTGGTTGAGTGTTGTGGCATACATCTATAATTCCATTGACTCAGGAGGCTAAGGCAGGAGGATGGCAAGTTCAAGGCCAGGCGAGTCTCAGTGTGTTAGTCTCAGCAATTTTGTGAGACCCTGTCTCAAGATAAAAATAAATAAATAAAAAGGATTGGGGAAGTAGCTCAGTGGTAAAGCAACCTGTTTTAATCTCCAGTACCAATATCTTATATACACACATATGTGATATATATATATATATATATATGTGTGTGTGTGTGTGTGTGTGTATTATAAAGTTATTTTCAGGCTGTTTATATTGTATGTATTAAGTATAAATGAATTTGGTGTTTAGAATTTTGTTATATCCTTAGTATACGCAATTATTATTATGTATATACAATTGTTCCAAAATTTTGAAAAAACATCTGAAATCTGTAATGTTTTGGTCTTGAGCATTTTGGATAAGGGGTACACAAGTCTAAGGACTCTAAATGTTATAGGAGTATACGTGAACCTCCTAACAGGTCTCCATTTTCCAATCCCTCCACTTTGTAGTCTGCCTCCTAACTTTTTACTAAGCTGGCTTTCTAAAAGCCAAAGTTCATCTGTTTTCATAGGAAAAAAGTATAAGCTCATTAGTGCAGCATTCAAGGCTCTTCATAATCTGACTCCAATTTCCATTCAAGCCTTAATTCTTCCTACTTTCTCATATACCCTTTGTTCTATACATCACAAACTTCTCAGTGTTCCTTTTTAACCTCTGTTCCCTCTATATAGAATACTTTCTCCAATAGCAAACTCCCAGTAAGTCTTTAAGATTCAGTTCAAAGTTTTGTTGAAACATTCCCCCTATGTTTCTTATCTGACCTGGATTTGAGCACACTGCTCTGTTGCCTTTATTAGTCTTTTATCTTGACAGGTATTGGCCTTTCTATGGGTTCATGTCACATTTGGGCCAATATAAGAGATACCTGGACCAATCATACAGGCAGGCACCATTCCTCTTAGGCTTTCCCAGCTAGGCTTGCACTCTTCTTCATGCTCCTATTTGATGCTTGACTGGCCAGCATCCTTATCTTGTTAGTCTTTGCATCTCTGAATCTAGATCTGAATAAGAGCTGGCAAGTAATGGGGGCCCAATGAACATTTGTTAAATGAATGAAGGAATAACTGAATGTAAGTAAAGAACTCAAAGAAAGGAGTTTGACAGACTTAGGTAAGGGTTTTTGAAGGGCACAGGGCTTGAAGCCGGAGCTAGAAAAACAGAGAAATGGGGAAAGGGTATTTGGAGGACGAGGATTGTTATCCTAGGAGATGGAAGACAAAAGCCCAAGACTGAGAGCAAAGACAGTGAGTGAGGAGGTCAGCCAGGCTACAGCTGACTGCTGCAATATCTTGACCTTGTCACTAGATTTCTCAAGTACATTTTCAGCTCCTAGAAGGCAGGGTATTTGGTATACTCCTTTGTACTTCCTTTATGTTTGATGCACATCTCCACAGTTACCATTCCTACTGTCTTATGGTTTTTATTGTGCTTGGTATTACAATTATCGGTGCATTGGCCTGTCTCCCTACACTTGTACCAGTTTCCCTCCCTAGCTGCTTGAGGCAGGGGGACAAGATCTTACTGTCTTTGCATCTTCCAAGTCACCTAGCATAGTTCCTGGAACACAATGGTTGCACAGCAAATATTTTTTGATCTACCATTTGTTGATCTGATTTCAGAGGACCACAAGGATATTTGTGTGCAACTGTGTATTGTGACACAAAACTTATATATGCCTTCATACTGTATAGTCTATTTTTGGCAATTTTCATTAAAATGTTATCTTATTGTACCTGGAAGACTGTCATTTCAATTTTCTTCTTTGTTCCTTCTTGGATGACTCACATCTCTTATGCCAGAAGGATATGACAGAAGGGATTCACAAAGGGTTTGGGCAAATTTGTGAATGACATAGTCATAAACGTCTGAGTGTAAGAAGCGTGGATCATGCAAAGGGGAAGGAGATAACTTTTTCAAAGTGTATTTTCAAAGTGTCTATTAGGTGCCAGTAACTGTGTCTCAGGCACTTGACACACATTACATCTCATTTAATCTTGCAGAATAATTCCATATAAAGACAGAACATCTCTATCTGTAAGGCCAAACCCATATCTGTTCAAGCACAAAGCTTCTCCAAGTACCAGAGGTAATATTTGTGTTTATTAAAATTTTATCAGTCTTTTAACAGATGAATCTTTAGATTTGCTTTTGCTTCCTAGGAACAGAACACTCACTCTCAATTCAGACTTATACAGCTTAAAACTACTTTCTGACATAACTTGATCAGTTTTTAAAGTCCCAGTGCTTTAAATTACAATGCAATCTGAGATATTCCCATAGCAATAACAGCAATTACATTTGTTCACAGCACTTACCTTTATATTTCATTAAGCTTCCAAATACTGAATAAAGGTAAGTCAAGTCAAGAAAAGAGACTTCTATTAACCCTGACACCAGCAAATTGTCTCAAATTATAGCATGCCTTCTATTTGTATTCTAGACATATTGAATGGGTTTTCTGAGATACATATTTATACCTCACCTATGGTTAGAAGAAAATTGGAAGAAATTAGTTTAAGTTGTTTCTAATTTTTTAAAAAAATAATAGTAACTTTAAAAAAACGTAATGCTCCTGAGTATACAGCTGTTGCATCTGGCAGAAATCCTAACATTATAACCAAAGCACCATCCCTCATCCTTGGGAAATAGCTTGAGAAGGTGGGGCTGCATGTGTTAGTTTGGTATTTAAAGTCACACAGTCTAAGGTCTGTAGCTACATCCTGATCTGTGATAACATGCTTCCTGCCAGGGGTGGGGTGCAGTGGGAATAGAAGAGGTGCACCCTTGGATTATCAATACATGCACAGGTTCCAGACAGCTTTTCATTACCTTGTTTTGGGAAAATTATAACAGACACCTTTGCTTTGTGAAGTCCATTTCATATGACTAAAGGAAATAGAAAGGGCTCAAATGGTCCATTTCACATTTTGTATGATCCTGCCCCAATCTCTGTATGCCACTAATAGCTGGAAACAACAGACCTGATTTTGTTAGTGATTATGTGTTTCTTGAATTTTACATTAATTGAGAGACCAGAATTACCACCAAGGAATATATGCTACATACCACCTATGGCACTTCTAAAAAATAAATGAAAACCTAGCTTTCACATTTAAAGACTTGTCCCTTCCTTTTTGAGGCTAGGGGATGAAAATATGCACATCTTCCAAAGAGTTCTTTGTGCGAACAGGTGACCCCTTCCCACAGTCTCTGTAATTAATTGAGAAATTAAAGTTGGTTGGCCTTTGAGATCTTTTGTAAAAAAAAGGCAGAAGGTCTTGGATATTTTGGAACAAGAGTCCACTATTCTGCCAAGACAGTGTGTTATTGTTATTGAAGTGTCTCTCAACAAAACGGTATTGAGTGGTGAGGACGTGATTTTGATTAGGTGGAATGACTCAGCTCTTCCCCTTAAAGAAGAGAGGACTTGTCAGAGCCTTACTTACCTCATGATCTGGGATCTCAGAGGATAGTGTTTTCCCTAGGATGACCCCGGTCAAGTATGTCCAGCAACGAGCCGTGTTGGCAAGGTTGTAGCCTCCTGTCTCCATCAAGAATTGTGAAGTTAGGAAAGAATAGTCACAAAACAGCAGGAGAGGGAAGAGGGTAAGGAAGGAGAGAAAAATGTTTTAATAAAGGGGCTCAAAAGACTTGCAGAATTTCACCTAAAAATTTTTATACGATAACTGTAAACCACCTAGTGGGCAGACTTTGGGGGACCAGTCAGATCATGCACAGTGTAGAACTGGGAATTCAAGAACAAGAAAGATTATATCTCCCAACAAATAAGAACCTGAAGAATCCAAGTTCCTCCACTCCATCAAGAGACATTGGCAAGACTGAGATCCCTAGAGGTGACCTACACAATGAGAAGGTTTCTGTGATGGATTTTGCAACAATTCTATAAAATAACTGTTGGATGTGATCTGTATTTTAAAGCTATTGGCAGATCTCACCCTAAAACCATCCAGGAAAGAGAAAAGGAAAGTGCTGACAGAAACAGACTTCCTTCTTTTAATATCAGCATTCCTTTTCACCACAAAACACAAGCCTGGTGGCAGAGATCAAAGAGAGTGAGATGAGAAAGGGACTGTTGATTGACGCTCTGACCCATCTCGTCAGGTCCTGTCACAGTCACCCAGCAGCCATATTACACTGGCTAATAATCAGCATATTTTTGTGCTGAATAGATGTGCTCTGCCATGCAAGCATTAGAACATTGGCCTTTAGCTAAATTCCAAGAGCATAAGGGTAAAATGGAATGATTGCCTAACCCCAATGTAGCCTAAAGGAAATAGAATCTGGTCTATTTTAGGTAGGGTGACCACATAAATTATCGTCCAAAATGATATACTTTTAAGAGCAAAAGAGGACACTATTAAATCATTATACTGAAATAATATGTATAAACTGGGACATATGGTCACCCTTTTCTTAAGCCTTTCTACCATTTGAAAGGGCTGGAATGCTGGGTCTTCTGGAGTGTGTCATTTGGGCCTCAACAGGGTCCACTGAAGTTTGAGGATGTGGCTCTTTCTATGAATTGTCTATGTGCTAATAATAACTGAAGCCAGGTGTGGTGGTGCATGCTGGTAATCTCAACTACTTGGGATGTTGAGGCAGGAAGATTGCAAGTTCAAGGCCAACCTCAGCAACTTAGTGAGACCCTGTCTCAAAATAAAAAATAAAATGAGCTTGGATATAGTTCAGTGGTAAAGCGCCCCTAGGTTTCTTTTTTTTTTTTAGAGAGAATTTTTAATATTTATTTATTTTTTATTTTTTTAGTTTTCGGCGGACACAACATCTTTGTTTGTATGTGGTGCTGAGGATCGAACCCGGGCCGCACGCATGCCAGGCGAGCGCGCTGCCGCTTGAGCCACATCTCCAGCCCCCCTAGGTTCTTAAAAAAGTACCCTAGGTACTTTAAAAAAAAAAGCCGAGAGTTTCAGTTCAATATTATGGGTATTACTTTAAAAAAGCATTGACATAGAAAAAAATCAAATTTATAAAATATTTATTTGGTGTGGTTATTTAATTTTAAAAAAGAGTCACTATAAGCTTTGCTTAAGTAGTAAGATGTCTCTGATATACATATAGTATGATGTAATTTGCAAAGATTCCATTTATGCACAGGCATTCTCAGGAAAACACGCATTACATAAGAAAAATTATACTTACATATTCAAAAGCCCAAACTGTGGGCTGAAAAAGCAAAAGGGCTTTAGAGAATGCTAATAGTGAAGGCTGTAGCCTCAGACAAAAATTCCTCACAGATGTATGTTGTAGAAAGGTCTTTTATTCTCCCTTGTTGTACCTGTATCATAATCACCATTCTTAGTGCCGTCAAGGAAAGTAATATATCATGCAGGGCTTATCAATTTTATCTTTTTCTTCAGTTGAAGTTAATATATTTCTTGCCAGCTTTTCATAAGAGGGTGTCTCTTGTAAGCACCTTTAATTTTGATCCCTCTCGGGTTTCAGGCTGCCAAAGGACCCAGTTTGTATATTTGTGTTGAATGCTTACTCATATACATAAGGCCTCAGGATTTCCCCTAATTTTTTTAATAAAAGGTTGACCTCCCCCCGCAAAAAAACAAGTATTAGCTCCTCCATTATATATATTTTAAGCTCAATCTGTATGACCATTTATTTTAGCACATCACTCTATTTATCCAGTGAAATAATGATTGTGCCAGGTAGGTAGATGGAAGATCCTAAGCAAGGCATCCTCAAAGGTGCAAAAGCTTTCTTTCTCAAATGTATAAATGCTTCTATTGATATTTATATTACTATTTATATTACTTCTGGTTAAGTAATATAAATATCAGTACATGTGAAAGACAAGAATGCCTAAGAGATTCTGGATGTCTCAATTTTGCTTCATTATAACAAAATCTTGTTTTTTTTCCAGTACTGGGGATTGAACTCAGGACCTTACACATGCTAGGCAAGCACTCTGCCACCGAGCCACATCCCCAATCCCCAAACTATATTTTTTGGGGGGGAGAGAGTCATTCTTGAATACAGCTTAGATAATTAATACACATGTTTAATACTGATATATGAGTTAGAATTTCAGCAGTATGTTTCCAAAAGATGTTACTAGAACTGAGAATCAAAGACTATACTGAGAAAAGATGGATCAAAGTCAACACTCTCTTTTTTTTTTTTTTAAAGAGAGAGTGAGAGAGGAGAGAGAGAGAGAGAATTTTTTTTTAATATTTATTTTTTAGTTCTCGGCAGACACAACATCTTTGTTGGTATGTGGTGCTGAGGATCGAACCCGGGCCGCACGCATGCCAGGCGAGCGCGCTACCGCTGAGCCACATCTCCAGCCCAACAACACTCTCTTTTGATGATCTATAATAATGTGCATGTTTTCCTTCTTCTCCTTCTCCTTCTTTTGTTTGGCGTTTGTGGTACTGGGTGTGGATGGATCCAGGTCCTTGCACATGCTAGGCAAGTTCTCTACCATTAAGCTATACCCTCAGCTCCTGATGCAGGTTTAACCAAAGGACATTTACTTCAGGAATTAAAACAGACTCCATTGTGACAAGGAGTCAATGCATAGGTCAAGCGAGGAGGAGTGTGTCAGAGTATTTCCTTATGCTGAACTGTGGAGGTGGCAGAGTTCATTGACTCCAGCTTTGGGGACATAGGCAGGTTGATATCCTATTTAAGAAGGCCAAATTTTCTTTCTGTGCCAATAGACAAAATGTGGGGGAAGGCAACAGATTCTCATAGTGACCTTCCTTTGGACTCACCTCCTCCTAAAATGAGTGTTGCCAGTTGCCACTGAAGGATGTACTTGAGACACTTGCCAATTCCCACTGGAGTCATGTTAAAGGAGCACATGGGATCCCCGGCTATTGTATCAGCTCCCAGCTGTAACACCACTGCTTTGGGATTAAAGGCTTGGTACACCTCCTTTAGTACACTGTAGAAAAAAGATATAAAATATTAGAAGACTATAGATGAGGCTAGTGGGGTGGCGGGGCGAGTTGGACTCATAGTCTACTGAGCTAACAATTAAGGAAAAAGAAACATAACCTGTCAATTTCATTGAAATTTCTACCTCAACAGGGTGAATCAGAGTACATGTGAATCACTTTTTTCTTAAAATCTGACTTACAAAACAAACAAACAAACAAACAACAACAACAAAAACTCTATCTCCTATTTGTTCACCAAGGAACAAAATTGCCCTTCTGTTTTAGAACTAACTTTCTGGAAATATTCATATTAATCTCACTTCAACAGTCATAACACACAGTATATACATTTATTTCATTTTAAAGTCTGGAGAAATAAAACATATACATTGAATAGTTATTAAGGATTCTTTCTGGTAATTTAAGACAGCAATCCCACTTGGAGTTGATCACCTAATTCTTAATGGGAGCTGGGGGCGAGAAGTATAAGCTTTGAAAGCCTAGATGGTATCACTTACTTTTTATTATGCAAAAGGACTTGAGGGTAATGAAATGCTGTCCTCCCCAATGCATATGTAACCAGGGTATTATAAAGAAGGGAACTGCAACAACTGATCTAAAATTATAAATCTGAAAGCACCCTAAAAGAATAAGTTGCTGTGGGTAATACTAAGTATAACTTTGGGTAGAATTATTCAATGCTGTAGAATCAACCTAATTGCTTTTGTCAACAGTGAGAAGCCTTATAGATGAAAAGGAAGATGTCAATGTGACAGGTGACCTTAGTCAGGCTTCCAATATAATCATTAATTGAACACTGACAATGTCCAGAATGCATTCCTAGGAGTCATAAGGTCCTTGCTCTCAAGGGGCTTACAATCTACTTTCCAGACAAAACATATACCAGTCCTCAAGGGCCTGAAGAACTCTTACAGAGATGTATAAACAAGTGCAAATTAACATACTTCAGAGTTGAGAAAATACAGAGTCAAAAAGTGATCAAAAATGTTGAGGTCAATGACCCTCTCATAATCAACATGTCAAATCACACCAGTGCAGAAAACCCAGAAAAATCCCAGATCCTTCTGAAACAGCAAAAGGAATTCAGGGATATAAAATGCCGTCTTCCCCAATTCATATGTACCCAGGGCATTGAAGCTATTGACTAGGGTTCAGCCACAGAGGCAGTCGTTGACTCAAAGCACTGTTTTGTTTTGATTTCTCATCCTCACAGACAAATATTGAGTGATGGTAGAGATTATAAGAATATTATAAAAATTATGACATATGATCCTTAATACAAGGATACTTGGGCTTATTCTCTCTTTCATGTGCTTATCTCCTGGGTGCAGAGGGAAGATAAGCTACCTGAATAGTTTAGACGACATTTATTGAACATCTACACGTACAGAGCACCCTATTAGCTGCTTCTGGGAGACACAGAGGAAGGCGTGATGTCTGTTCTAAAAAGGTTTTCAGCCAAGGCGGGAGAGGGGGAGGCAAGCAAGACTATGGTTCTTTTCATTCATTCTTTTCCTCACTTAATGAGGATCCACTATGTGCCCAGCATGTAACTGTACCAGATGCTGCAGGAATCAAGATGAATCTGGCACATATACCTTTGTATAGCCCAGGATAGAGGGGAAGACACAGATTGTGGCAATAAAAAATTAAAACAAAAGGATAAATGAAGCATCGGAGGTGGCACAGAGGAGAGAGTACTCAACTTTTCCAGAGAAAACTCGAAAAGGCTCTGCAGAGGTAACTCTTGACTTAGGTCCAAAAAGATGAGAAGTACTACAATGGAGCCAACTCTTGAGATGGCTAGAATGAAACAGAGCGATAACAACAATTCCTGGTGGGGCTGTGGAAAAAGTAGATCACACTGTCTTGCTGGTGGGAATGTAAAACGGTATAGCCACTCTGGAAAATAGTTTAGCAGTTCCTGTCAAAACTAAAAATAGACTTGCCATATGAGCCGGCAATTGCACTCTTGGGCAATTTATTCCAGAGAAGTTAAGGTTTATTTTCATGTAGGAACTCGTACACAAATGTGCATAGCATCTTTACTTGTAATAGCCCCCAATTGGAAAGACTCAGATGTACTTCAATAGATGAATGGTTAAACAAACTGGTTCATCCATACCAGAGGAATATTGCTTATCAATCAGAAGAAACAAACTATTGATACACACACAAATAAAATGGATGAACTTAAAGGTAATTATGCTGGGTGAATAAGGTCAATCTCAAAAGAATATACACTGCAAAATTCCACTTACATAATATTGTAAAATAGTAACTTATAGAGATGGGGATCAGATTAGTGGATAGCAGGGGTTAGGGATGAGGTGCAGCATGAGACCTTGTGGTGATGGTACAGTTTTGTATCTTGATTGTAGTAGAGGTTATGTCAGGCTACATATGTGAAAATATCACATAGAAAGACACACACACACACACACACACACACACACACGTCAACTAGTGAAATCTGAATACAATTTATGGGTTGTACCAAAATCAACTTCTTGATTTTGATGCTATTCTATAATTTTGCAAGATGCCAACATTTGAGGAAGCTGGAGGAAGAGTACATGGGACTTCCTTGTACATTTCTTTGCAACCTCGTGAATCTGTGATTATTTTCATATATATACATATGAAATATATATAAATTATGTATATAATTTAAAATATATGTATTTTAAATTTGGTACTGGGCATTAAACCCAGGGGTGCTTAACCACTGAGCTACATTCCCAGACCTTTTAATTTTTATTTTGAGCAGGGTCTCACTAAGTTTTTGAGACTGGCCTGGAACTTGCAATTCTCTTGTCTCAAACTCTCAATTTCCTGGGACTAAGGTCTATGCCAATTTGCCTGACTTCTCTAGTGAAATGTTTTTGTTTTTTTTTTTTAAGCAAAGGAGGGGTGGGGTTGTGGCTCAGTGGTAGAGCACTTGCCTAGCACATGTGAGGCACTGGGTTTGATCCTCAGCACCACATAAAATAAATAAATAAAATAAAAGTATTGTGTCCATCTATAACAAAAAAATTTTAAAAAACAAAGAAGAGCTGGGGGTGGGGGTTGTGCAGATCAGTGGTAGAGTGTCTGCCTAGTATTTACAAGGCCCTCAGTTCCATCCCCAGAAACTGTCTGAAAAGAAAGAAAGAGAAGAAAAGAAAAAAAACTGGAGAAGTTTGTAGGCACTACTTTGGGTGAACTTAGTGGACTAGGAGATAGGGATGGTTGTGGGAGTTAATGGCAGGGGATGAGGTTCAGAGAAGTGTATGTGCAGAAACATGCAGGCAGGGAGGGAACAGGGAGTGAAGGATGAAGCTAATAGTAAATGTGAGCAGGTAGGTATTATAAGTTTGTATTTTTATCCAAAGGGTATGAAATGTCTCAAATATTGTGTGTGTGTGTGTGTGTGTGTGTGTGTGTGACGTAGGTGCATGCATGCATGTGCACCCCTTTGTGTGTTGGGGCATGATCAGATTTCCATTTTAAAGATACTTGAGCTCTAGGGTAGGGTACACTGAAGGTTGGTCAGGGTTTTTGCAAACATCCAGGTGGATGGATAGACAGGAAGAGATGGATTGGGGAGATAAACTTCCATGATAAAATTAATAGAGTCATACAGAGTGACACATGAGAAAAGAATATACCTATGATGTTTATGACTGTTTGGTAATTAGGAGAGAGGAAAGGATAAAGGAAGGGAGGTGTTTCAGGAAAGTCGTTTTAATTATAGCTAGGAAAGGAAAATGAGTCCTCAAGGAGTTCTGATGAAGCAGGCTCTAGATGGGTAGAGAAAAGGGTAATTAGAAGCTTAGGAAAAGCTAGGGCACTTTGTATATAATAGAAAATTCAAAGCAACTGGTAGTGAGGACAGCTTACAGAGGGCTGGGTGGTGGACAATCATAAATTCAAGACGGCTGTTTTCATTTGATTTGACAATCAAATGGAAACCCCTGGAGAAGTATAAGTACTGATGTTGCTGAAAAATTATAATTAGGAACTCTGACTTTTTGCTATTGCATGTAAGGCCAGAGAGAAAATTTGGAAGCAGAGGAATTGGCAAAAAGACTACTGAAGCATTCTAGGCATGAGAACAACAGGAAGCAAGGCAAGGTAAATATAGAAAAAAATTGAGAAGGCTAGGTGACAAGGGAGGGAGGAGAGTTAAAGGAGAAAACACACCGTGCCCCTTTTCTCCAGAAGTGCCAGGACAGGAAGAGAGAAATTGCCACTTTCAAATCCAGTATTCCTCTTGCTCATCAATCATTCCTCTTTTGAAGTCAATGTCATTTGCTTATACTATTCAAATACTATCAGAGTTCTTATCTATAGACCCACAATGTATTCTTCCGGCTCCCTTGAGGATTTCAGCACCTGGTTCATATTTTTTTTTCTCTCTCTCTCCTTGTCATGGTTCTCTGCAATTCAGTATTCATTTACTCACTAAAACTTTGATTCCAGCACCTGCAGTTCTCTATGCTGTGGACTAGAGATACAGAAATAAGCCAGATCCAAGGACCTTATGGTCCAGTAGGGGAAGAAAACAGGAAAATCATCAATTATGATAAGTGCTACAATATTCATTCACTCATTCATTGATCCATTCACCCAAAAAATGTTAGTTGATTGGCTACTATATACCAAGCACTAGGTTGAAAAATGGGTTTACTCTATTGAATGAAAGTGATCTTTTCTTTCTCCAGGGACTATCCTAATTCTCTGACATCACAGTTTCTTCATCTTTCCAACAATAGTGATGTCCAACTGCACTCCACTTCAGTTATTCCCAAGCATGGCCACACTTCAGGGCCCAATAAGGAAACATTTGGAATTGCTTTACTTCTAAGGCCCTGGACTCTGAAATACTTTCTCTGCTTACAGTTTTTATCTTTTCATGTCTCCTATTGCACTTGCTCTTTATTCTCATAATAACTCCCATTCCCTAGTCTTTCCCTGTTTTTCAAGTTCATTAGCCTATTTT